TGCTGGCCCTGTTTACTGCCATTCTTCTCAGGCTTCAGTGAACACTTTCTCCTTTCAGGGACCTGCTGTATGGCAAATCCAGCTTGTTTGGGATTTCAATTCAGTGACGGCAATTTGCTAAACTCTGCACTAAACTACTGACCACGGGTTCCTCAAAAGGGACCAAAGACCAGCAGCATTCCCTCCACTGTCCAGGCCCTAGCTACAGCAAATGACTTGGCAACCAGCTGGGAGGCAGCAGATGAGAAGAGAGGTAAAAAAGGGGGGGGGGGGGGGGGGGAGGGATGGGGGTGCAGTCTGCATGCAACGCTCCAAAAAGAAGAATCTTTCTGAGACAGTCTCGTCCCAAGGATCCTGCCCATATCAGTGTGAAAGAGCTGGAGAAAGAATAGAGCATGAAAACCAAAAGTAAAACCTTCAAAAGAATGGCTGCTTCTCAGGGCAGACTGGCTTACTGAAAGCACTCTCAGCAATGTGCCTTACTATCCTTTCTTTTTTGTTTCTTTCTTCATGACCCCAAGACCTCTGAGGAGTCCTCAGATATTGTCTCCCAAAGATTCCAAAACAAACAAGATCTTGGTTTTATAATGAACTTTTCTGGCAGTCTCCCCTTTCCTCGTCTTTCTTCTCACTCAGAAAGATTACCTGCAACTTTAGGCTGAGCAGAGGAGGCAGCTGAAGTTATTGGCTCTCTGAGGGCTAGGAATGCAGTGGCTGGACCTTGAACTTGGTTATTAACATGTTCTTGGCTAATACCATGCAAACAGAAAACTTTATGAAAGGAAACTGCTTTCCAACATGTAGAGATTTCCCAGCATGATTTAGGAGTGCAGTTTCTATTGAAATCAACTGGGATGAATAGGGTCCCATCACACAGGCAGCTTCCTTGTTGCAGGTACCTCCCTCTACAATGCCCAGAGTGTGGTTCTTCCTCAGCAAGCCTGCAGAAGCAGAAAGGATTCATCTCTGTTCCTTATAGCACTGCTGTATTCCCGCTTCTCACCAGATACATGTTTGATCAGATTCTCCTTCTCCCTTCCACATTTGAGAAGCAGTGAAATGGGACCCAAGGAGGCTTTGCAAGTCTACATTGCAATCCAGGCTTCCAGTACCTCTCTAAAGACATGATTAGGGAATATATTCCAACACTTCCTTCTGCTTGAGTGGCCTTTTCAGTCCACTTTGGTCTGCTGGGTCCAAGAAAGGAACTTGGATAGTAAATCACCCATCAGCAGCATAAATGTGGCAGAATTTGACTCTTAATGAACACATAATTTGTTTATTTCCATGTTCTTCCTCTATGAGTGGCTGTGTTGGTCCATTTTCTTACATTGAAAAAGGAACAAACAACCACTTGGAGGGATACCCTCAGCTTCTTCTCTCCTTCTCTCCTTTTTTTGACTGCATTTGTGCATAGTTATTTCCTACTGCCCACAATAAAGTATTTAAAGTGGCTGTAAGTATTTCAGAATCATAGCCAGAGTGCTAATAGCTATCCAGACTTAGAAGAGCTTTGAGGATGTAGACAAAATGAAAGACTGTGTGTAATTTTTATCTGGTTTAGGAAGGATTTTCAAAGGAAATGGAAGAAAAGCTAACTTCCTCAACCTCTCTTATTCCAAACCAAGGCAGGAAATGTGAAAGAGCCATAACTCGCATAAGATCTGCCCAGCCATGTATTTAACATAGTGGTCTTTTGACATTGACCTTAGACCTGCCAAAATACACACAGCCTGCGTGCATGGAGATGAGCAAGGGTGCTAGAACACAAGGCAGCTTAGCCAAAGCACAACAGGTCCAGAGGTGGACCAAAGTATGATCTTAGATTGTGAGACTACGCAGGTTCTTGTATGGCTCTGAGGATCAGATCAGGAGTCACGAAGAGGTCTTATTAGCTCGCTTAGACTTGTCCTTTCACGCCTTTGTTTACCTGCGCAGCGTGGGTTTGGGATGGTTCTTGGTGCTGAAGGAGGAGACTCTGGAAATCGGATGCTAGATCCCTCCTGGACTCACCTCTTTATCAGCCTTTTGGGGCATTCAGAGGAACACTTGAGTCATCATCAGCAGGCTCCCAGGACTCCCAGACCCGCACTAGCCCGATTCCCCAATCAGTATCTGGCTTACCCAGAAAAAATCTTGTCACTATTTTTTCAGAAAAAATCTTGAACACATTTTGCCCCAGAAACCTACTAGATCAACTCTAGTTTTACCTGACTGTGGAAGACAAGTGTCTTCCTTTCTCTACAGATATATAATGTGGGGCTAAGTGTTGAGCATCTGGTTATTTACTTCCCTCTATCTTGTTCTACGATCTTGAACAGAAATTTATGTCAGTGCAAAACGGAGAAAAAATCATGGGATCAGATGAGGAGCATTTACCTCCTATGCATGGATCAGTAATTGACTATAAAAGGTGCAAGTCAGCATAGACCATAGTTCCTTAATTAGATTTATGAAGAACCAGAGACCATACTTTAGAAATACCATACAACAAAAATTCTGAACCACGCCCCATGAATGTAAATTACCAAGATACCACTGGTGTCCCTTTCACAGTTTGCTGCTGTAGGAAGGTCTTAAAGATGCAGATATCACATAAGATGGATTCAACAGCAAGTATATGCAACCCACCATCCATTACACTGAAACTGACAGAAAAGCCTTAGGAGATGAAATGAAGGCCGTTATTTTCTTGTCATTATTTGTGACAATTTTAAATTTTAATTTCTAAGTACATTCACACTTTCCTGTGGTCACACACATCAGTTCCTTCTGATCTCAGTAAGGCCAGGAGAGGCTGGGATTTTAATCTTTTAATCATGCTATCAGCATGATTTACGGAACAAATGTTGATGCATGCAAGATTTGTGAGGAACTTCTTGCTGGGCTTTAAGTGGTGATGATTTACCACTGAAGAAAACATTACTACATTTAAACATAGAGTGGTAAACAATGTCTTTTTTATTCCAAGTGTCATCTTTCATCTATAATCATCAAGCATGTGCAAAACATAAATTAAAACTTTCTTGTTAAAGCTTTTCTTGTTATCTGGACTTCTTTACTCCCCACATACTCCAGCAGCTGAAATGCAGTCTTGCTGCTGACACTTGGAAGGCTCATTAACAATGACTTCCAATTTCTCATTAATAAATCAGAATCTGGTGTTATGCTGCCTGAACCGAGAGCAGGAGAAGGAGGGGGATCATATCTCAGAGCAAGCAGCCTTCAACGCATAAATCATCCCACATCTTCCAAATGCAACCTGTAAGAGCAGTCACTTACATGATTAAATAACTTCCCTCTATGTGCTGAAGGCATGAAAAAACACTAGGGATCTAAGTATTGAAGTAGCCCAATGCAGGTTTGGAATTTGCATTTTGCAGGGAGCAGCATCAGGCTGCTGTTAAAAAAGGAGCTGGGAAGGGAAAAGTGGGAGCAGTGGTAAGCAGAACTGGATATGTGTCCCAGTTATCAGTGAACACAGCTGCTCATAGGCAAAACCCGGTTTTAAGCAAAAAGGACTGTCATGTTATTTAGGGAGGGAATTTCAGATTTTATGAAGTTTCCTCATATCCAGAATTTGTTTTGTCCAAATAGGCCTGTGCGTGTATGCAACTATTTATACGTGTATATGGGAGTGTGTGTGTATACACATACACATGTCTATAGCAAAGGTATTCTCTTACAATTGCAAGGCTTGCAAGGCTTGCTATGCAATTCGTATTCTCCTGGAATCCTCCAGAAAACTACCACATACTGCGTGTGGTCCTGCCTGTCCATGCGTCTCTACTCCAGGCAGTCCTGCAGCTTTTTTTATTCCTGGCTGTCGCTTCCCTTCATCTGAAGTTCTGTTTTGACAAGGGGTGAATTTTCACTGCGTATGGAGAAGCAGAAGGCAAAGGAGGTATTCAGACTGGAGCTATTTGTTAATTTTTCCCCTTCTCGAAATTAAAAGGACAAAGAACTTCTGAAGACCAGGAGTATGAAACATAAGCAACGATTCCGGGACCCCGACCTGAGGCACTCTGGCTAACCCATTTTTCCAAGTGTCAGGTGCTCTGCACTCCCTAATAATGGGACCTCTACCAGAGGTCCCTCTGGTAGACCTCTACCATACGTTTCATGCTCTCTTTGGCCTTGCCTCATTCTGGAATGAAGACATATCACAGGTTCACTCTT